CTGTGGCTGTTGAACGAGTACTCAGGCACAGGAACATGCTCAGTTATTGAGTAGTTCACTGGGTACAGTGGGTAGTAGTTTTTGACTTACCTAGTTAGTTACCCAGTGAGTTAGTAAATCACTCTTGCAGTCCTGAGTGCCATCTTAGTTGCTCTGGCTAATCAGTTACAAGTTATGCTGGTTAGCTTTCTGGTGCTGGTTAGCTTTCTGGTTCGCATGTCTGCAGTCGCCTTACTACGTCAGAATTACTAATTAGTTCATTGTTAGGTTACTGCATTGCTCTACTCTGGTGGGTGACCTGACTAGTAGCTGCAGTTACTTTCGTACGTGATGATATCTGAAGGCCGGCCGGCACCCTTTTAAAAAGAGGAAAAACGAGAGAATGCCCAGTCACTATAGCTGTATTTGGTGGAACTTCCAGTCTGGATGCACAGTGATAAGGACAGGGCGTCTTATATTCAGGTGAAGACTGTAATCTTCGAATTGCCATGTCCTCCTGCGCATCGCTTTAGTTGCGAGTGACTGATCGAGAGTCCAGACCTGTGAATGGGACATCACGCGCAGCGGCAATATAAAAATTATATGCGAGTGACAGTCTCAGTCTTAGAAGGGCTCAGCTTGTGTGACCAGCCATCCTAGCGAGAGAGCTCAGCTTGTGTGACCAGCCATCCTAGCGAGAGAGGGTACTTGCCTTCTCCTTGTTGTGTCCATTCTCCCGACGGCGGGTGTGGATACAATGAATCTCCCCGTAGGTGTGGCTAGCTGGGGGCTACCGTCTTCCCCGGAACACAGCGCAGCCCCATTTTGCCTGTATCGGGCTGGTACCTTGTATACGTTCATTTTCAGGGTGCGTTATGTTTGGGGGAAGACGGTAGCCTGCCTCATGTCAATTCTGGTGTCGATCGAGGCAGGTTAGCGGAATTTCCCAGTTTTGATGACATTGGATGCGAATGGGGTTTTGGTGCAGGGCTGATAAATTCAATCGACAGACCGTTTTTGCTTTCGGCCCTCTTTTTGAGCCTGCGGCCGATGTACGGGAAAGGTACTGGTGGTTTAGTTTAGTCACAAGAGGGCTACTCGGGACTTTCACAATACAGCCTGTCACCTCGAGAGTGTTATTTCGACATAGGGTGTCACCTCACCTCAAGAGTGTTATTTTTCTAGATAGGGTGCTAACTGTTTGAGCTCACATTCTGATTGACGGCTAGTTGAGGGCTTCTTGCTTCTAACGATTGGGTTTTTACCATACGAACTGCTGTTGTAATTAGAGGGCTTGGGCTTCTGGCCTCTTTGAGCGGTACTACTGGCCACTTTTGAGGGCATGGTCTGTGTTGATGCGAAGGCAGTCTGGAATTATACCCATACCATATTTTTATAAGTGCGCGAGGAGCAGAGGTTTATGTAGTGTGTGGTGCATGTTAGTTCAGGACTTGGGTCTCTCAGTTGAAAATATTATGTTATGTTTATTTGAGGGGAAAAAAGGCCAGGTGCAGCCAGGGGAGGTTCAGGGCAACTTGTGAAGTCTCTGAGTTCAAAAATGTATATGTATGTGTTCTGAGTTTAAGGCCAGGTGCAGCCAGGGGGAGCTTCAGTGCGACTTGCAAAGCTGATTTAGTTTTTGTTGGAGTGCGAGCTGAAATATTCAAGGCCGTGCATTTCGGTGTGTACGTAGTTTGGAACCTTCCTTCTTCCAGTCTTTTGGGTCTCGCTGCACTCCTCTCGGAGTGTGCAAAACGAGAGTGAATCTTCGCTAGAAACATGGCGAGATATTATGATTTTTTGTCTGTTGTGCACGTCGAGAGTAGTGCAGCGATGCCCTTTGCCTGGCGAAGTAGCTAGTGCTTTCCAAATTCATTACCAGGTCTCTTTGAGAGTTAGGCAGGTACTATGGGTCCTTTTGACTTGCAGTGAAAAGTCGTCCGATGGCATCTCGCATCTCGCTGCTGAGTCGGAGTAGAGTATTGGAGGACGTGCACTCTGCATGATAGAAAAAAAAAGGGAGCAGAAAAGCCGAAACCAATGGGCCTAGCTCACAGTGAAGACGGTAGTTGCTTTGCATGATGAACCCTCGGTATGTATGGAACTGATCATAGCATGTGGATAAAGCATACTCCACAGAAGCACCCTCACATGGAGATGAGCAGGTTCGCTTCATGATAAGAAGTATCAGTGCTTAAGCTAGCAAACTCCATCAAATTCTTTTTCTTCTTCTTCTTCTTCTTCTTCTTGCCCATTCCTTCTTCTTCTTCTTGCCTCTTCTTCTTGCCCCTTCTTGCCCCTTCCTTCTTCTTCATTTTCTTGCCCTTCCTCCTTCTGCTCCTTCTTCTGCTCCTCCTTGAAAAGACAATGCCCCTTCTATTCCCAAAGAATCTTCATACTAATGGAGACAAACAAGTTTGCTTCCTCAAAGCATCTAAGCAGGTGAACTTCATCAAAGCATCTGAGCTCATAAATTATGGCACACAGGTTACCTGTTGAGGGGGAGACATAAAGCTTGTCGAAGCTGTGCCGTGCTGTGCTGTGCTGTGCTGTGGGAGCGTGTGAGGTTGGATGTACAAGGGTGTGTGATTTGAATGTGTGTCCCCACCAGCCTAATTTACAAGGGTGTCATTTGTATATCCCCACCTATGGTAGTCTGCACCCTGATATGTTTGTTGTCAGATTGCTTTTGGCATGTTGTGAGGTATGTACCGACTCGACTCTCTGAGGCCATGTGTGATGTTTTGGCCCTCCTCAAAGCAACACATCGTCGCATAGGCATATACCAGCACAAGTCTTCCCGGGCCTCCCGTTTTGTTTGCGTTGTGTGTTCGGGACTGTCATCAGAACAACCCCTTTTCTATCCCACCCAGACGATTAGATCCAGAATTGAGACAGCATTGGCATACAATCTTCTATATATGCGAATTTCAAGTGATTGCAATGTTTTCGTGGAACTGCCGTATCATTTTGTATTGTAATGGGGCAGGTCAACCAAGTCTCCACACCTCTTCACTTGATGATGCTCATTTGTATGCAAAGTACTTCTGAGCGTATAAGTCCATGAGGACGAACTGGGAAGGGAGGAGGCGAAGGGGAGTTAAAAGGGGGAAAGTGGAGGGAGGAAGAAGCAGAACAGGGTAATGTGTGTTTCTGTGCGTGTGTGTGTGTGCGAGAGAGAGAGAGAGAGAGAGAGAGAGACGGACAAGCGGATCTGTGTCACAGAGAGAGAGAGAGAATGTGGGTGGGGAGAACTAGGGAGATCGTGAGTTTTAAGAGGTTAATACAGAGATGCAAAATTGACGACGCTTTCTTGCACCTCTCTTCGGGGGCTAAATGCCACCCTCTTTGGAACTGAACAATAAGATCTCAGTTGATTGGCCCTCTATGGAAATGAGGGTAGTACTCTCGGCTATGAGGGTATGCTGGTTGTGTCTGCAATTTGGCTGGTCGTCCTCAGTCTCGGGTATGTCCATAGACTCCATACTTTGCCTAGGTGTCTCCATAATTTACCATTGTGATAACTGCAATTTCACAGTCAACTTTGGTGCACCTCATTTCTGAACATACAAACTTTGCCAAATAGTTTCCACCAGCCATTTGCCGGGTTGAAAAAAATGCAATATGGGTCTGCAGTTATTCCCATCTTTAAAAGGGGTACAAAAGCAATTTATATATATATATATATATTTTTGTTCTTGTCGCCTCAGCCTTTTTTCAATAACGCCATCCAACCTCTTTTTTCCATCCCATATCCAACCTCTTTTTTCCATCCCATTTTATCTCCATAGCTGTGCGTCCTTTACGCAGAGCCCAACTTCATGCACTCGTACAGTGAGACTGTTTTGCCCTATCTCGGTTGAGTGTCTCCAGGCCTAGTCTCTGCAGTCTTCCCCCATATAGAAAGCACTGTCTTTATAGCCGTATTTGGTGCAGAAGTCAGTCTAGGTACAGAGTTGATAACCGTACAGCCTAAATAGGTGAAGTCGTTAGGGTCCATTGTCTCCTCGTACTATGATGAAAGCGAAAGGGAGGAACTTCGAGAAAGTATGCACATTGCACATTGTCCTTGTACTGGAGGTACCAGCAGCAGCTTAATGTCATTGCAATGCACCTTTGATTGAACAAACAATTGCAAAAAATCAAATGAATGTTTGCTGGATGATTGGTGGAGAATAATATTACGTTCAATCGGAGACCGATTCTCTATCAGCAGTCAGGAGATCATGTTCATTACCACTTACGTCAGACTGTTATGTAGGCGGCCAACAACTCAGAGGATAACTAGCAGCGAGTACAAATGTATGTTAATTCACACAAACAACTACGAGTTCCCCACCAATAGATGGAGCCTTCCTCACCAAAAAAAAAAAAAAAAAAAAAAAAAAACAAGCTGGTGTTGGCAAGCGAGTCGAGGGAGAGGAGTTGGGCAGATGCCTGTTGCACGGCTTGCCCTATCAAAAAAGCTGCTGCTCGTATTTCCCAGCCCAAAAGACAGCTTGCAAATTCGGCGTACCTGTTCGCAAGTCCATACTCTCTCTTTCAAATCCTTCGACCATCTGCAGCACAGTTTGGGAAGCCTTGTACTGGGAGCTTCGTCGTTCTGGGAGCACCAGCCAGCATTCCTAGGGCCCTGCAACTAAATCGTGCCGTCGTCGCCCGAATAGAATGCTCAGCAATCATGGCTGGATCTAGAATCTAGACTGAAAGTTTCCCCAAATACTGCTATTACAATAAGAACCAGGAGTTCTATTCAGGTGAAGATGGTCGTTGGCAGCATGGTTTGGGTATTGTTGTACCAGCTTCGCCGCTCTGGGACCACCCCATTCCTGAGTACCAGCTTCCTCGTCCTGGGACTGCCTCTTCCTCGTCCTGGGACTGCCTCGTCTTCCTGAGTACCAGCTTCCTCGTCCTGGGACGGCCCCCGTTCCCGAGTACCCGCACCCATAGTCGCAGCGCACTCACCTCTTGCAAAGAAGTAAGGTGCAGGTTGTCCACCGGACTGGTCTCGATGTATCTTAATGTGATTTCGGTTCACATTTTGTTGTAGTATGTCTCCCACATCTCAGCCACGGTTCAAAATCCGTGACACATCCATACATCGCTAAACCAAGTGATCACCCTGAAGCACTGAAAAGGCGGTTGAGCCCCAGAATAGAAGGGGTGGGAGTGTGTTTTGTGTGAAAAAAAGACGTTCCAAAGTTACGCTCAGAGGGTGACACCAAGTTCGAATGATAGATACCACATGAAACAATTATGAATTACTCTCGAATGATAGATACCACATGAAACAATTATGAATTACTCTCGAATGATAGATAC